CTGTAGCTAATCCTGAGGCAGGGTCGTTACTGTAAATGTGTTTTTCAGTTGAGCAAGAAAAAATGCAACTCCCAGGGCACTTTCTTAAAGGTGCCACTTTAAAAATTAGTGGGGAATAAGGACACTTATTTTTCAAGTTCCTGATAGAAATCTTTTTTGAAATTCCCAGTGGGGGAGGAACAGTTGTTCTTTCTCTTGAATGACAAATACCAATTTGTATAATATCAGTGTTAAAAATGTTGAGATTTTCACAAAATATTTTAAAAAAGTATAATAGTGTCATTAATATAAAAATATAATAGCAGTATTTAATCCTTTCAGATCTGTAAAGAATAAGGAGAAACAGAAGGTAAATATTCTTACAGAGAGTAGCTGAGCTTTAAGGTTCACTTGGTTTAAAGTCCTCATTTTGTTTGCAAATGCATTGTTAATGTTTAGAGGTTATACTAATGTTATTTATTAATGGTTTCCATTCTTGTATGCTGCCCACTAAGAGCTTCTTTGTTTGGGATTTCATTCACCTGTGTCAGTAAAAAGAAAACAAAACAAAGTTTTATTTTTAAATAAAATTTCCTTTGTTGTAGCATATCGTCTGTGTTGTGTTGGTTCTGTGAGTCCTGGAAAAAGAATATCCTACTCGAGCCCATCTCAGCCATCTTGTTCAGGCTGCCCAAGTCTGAGATGTTCAATTAGTCTCCTGGATCTCTTGCAGACTGAGGCTGACTTTGTAGCTACTGTAACTATTACCAGGATTACCTGTTAAACTCAAACTCATGTCATGGATACTAACTAACAGAGGGCAGGAAAGATTCATACGGACTTCATACTACTGAGTTTACTGATAGAGTTAACGTATGCTAATAGAATTGATTAATAGAGTCTATAATCCATCAGGACCTAGTGGGGTCTGAGAATGACATTAACGGGTTTGTTACCACGCGTGAACAGAGTCTGTTCCAGAGTCCAGAGGAATCTCCTACGGACTCCATAGAGCCTGATGGGTTCTGCAGTGTCTGTTGGGGCCTGGTAGATCCTGAAGCATCACTCCCGCTCTGCTGGAGTCTGTTAGGCTCCATTCACCTCTCACAGACTCTGTTAGTACATCACTATAGACTCTGACAGGCCTTGGTAATCATTGCATGGCACTTCTAGAATTGTGTTACACAACTATGGAATACAAAGGATATATAATAAAGCCAAAATTATATGGACATAGATAGTATTACACGCTTCTAATATTGTGTGGTCTGATGGATGCTACGCAATCTGTTGGAGGCTGTTGGAGTCCAACACGCCCTGCTGGAGTTTGTGAGACTGGGGGGGCCTGTGCATGACAGAGGCCGAGCCCCGGGGAGAGCCTGCCGGGGGCACGGCTCCCTCGCCCTCCAGCATGCCAGCTGGTAACTGAGATGGACTCATGGGGAGGAGCGGCCCAGCTGAGCCCCAGGCCAGGCGGGGGCCAACCGCCAGCGTGTTGGGACAAATAAGGACACAGGTCGCATGGGGTCGAGGGAAGCCCCCCCAAAGAAACGTCGCCTGGGGGTCAGATGAAGTCTAGAACCGTGCAGACCTTCACTGTGGGGGTCAAATGAGACATGGGTGTCAACTCAGCTCACGTGAACCCCTCAAAACTTCACTGTGGGGTCAGATGAGGATGATTAGGGTCAAATAAGGACACAGGTCAAATGAGATTGAGTGAACCCCTCAAACACTGTGGGGTTAATGAGGTTATTTGGGGTCAAATGAGGACATGGGGTTAACTGAGGTTGAATTAACCAGTCAAAGATATCACCCCATTGGGTCAAATGAGGTTAATTGGGGTCAACTGAGGACACGTGGGTTACCTGAGGTCAAACAAGCCCCTCAAATTCCTCCTCAAGGGGTCAACTGAGGACACAGGGTTACCTGAGGACAAGGGGGTTACTTGAGGTCAAATGAACCCCTCAACGATGTCCTCCAGGGGTCAAATGAGGACATGGGGTTACTCGAGGTCACAGGGGTTACTTGAGGTCAAACAACCCCTCAAAGTTGCCCTTCAGAGGTCAAATGAGGACACCGGGGTTACTTGAGGTCAAACACCTTAAAGAGGTCCTCCAGGGGTCAAATGAGGACATGGGGTTACTTGAGGTCACAGAGGTTACTTGAGGTCAAACTCCTCAAAGTTGTTTTCAGGGGGTCAAATGAGGATACGGGGTTACTTGAGGTCACAGGGGTTACTTGGGGTCAAACGAAGCCCTCAAAGACGTCCTCCAGGGGTCAAATGAGGACACGGGGGTTACTTGAGGTCAAACACCTTAAAGATGTCCTCCAGGGGTCAAATGAGGACATGGGGTTACTTGAGGTCACAGAGGTTACTTGAGGTCAAACTCCTCAAAGTTGTTTTCAGGGGGTCAAATGAGGATACGGGGTTACTTGAGGTCACAGGGGTTACTTGAGGTCAAACAAAGCCCTCAAAGACGTCCTCTGGGGGTCAACTGAGGATACGGGGTTACTTGAGGTCAAACACCTTAAAGATGTCCTCCAGGGGTCAAATGAGGACATGGGGTTACTTGAGGTCAAACAAACCCCTCAAGGATATCACCATGGGGTCAAATGAGGTTATCTTGGTTCAACAGAGAACACAGGGGTCAACTGAGGTCAAGTGAGCCCCTCAAGAAGTCGCTGTAGGATCAACTGAAGACACAGGCAGCAATGGCAGATAAGATGTGCTAAATAATATGAACTGGGCACAAATGAGGGGGCATGGCGGGTTTACTGGTGTCCAGCCCTCTTGGCCTAGTTAAATGGAGTCAGAAACATCAGATGGGTCACACAGGGGCCTGAGGTGTCATCTGTAATTGGAACAAGGCCTTGGTCCCAGACCCGTGGTTATTGGCACCTAATGAAGGCACGAGTACAGTTAAGCATTCTAACAAGTCTGTGTAGCGACAGAGTTGTCAGCTAGTGTTTATTACCATCTACCCTTGGTGTTAGCATAGCTACGTTACAGGATCAGGTAACAGTGCGACAACAGCATGGGCTTTATTTATTAGTAGAGGGTTAGTACCTGTCAAAGCCAGTAAAGGAATTCTGTTAGAATGTGATAGATTCTAATGCTGCAATTATTGATGAGTAATTATTAGTATCTACAGAATCTACTAATATATAAGAGTTATTGGTTAAGGTTACTGGAATCCACTGTCAGAGCTGGTTTTAGCATTATTAGTGCTTACAGCAGCTATTGTTAACAGATAATTCTGTTTATTGACTGTATTAGATTAGAATGTTATGATTATCACATATAACATCCACTGTAGACACTAGTTACTAAAGTAATGCAATTTTTAGACTTGATTCTGTTAAAACAATGGTCTACTAATAATTATTGGAATCTACAGCAGCAAGTAACAAAGTTTTCTTATAGATTCTAACAATAGAACTAGGTGGTGCCTATAGTAGGGAGTAATACAAATAGCTATTCCAACCTATACAGTATCTATTAGAATCTAACAATAGTTATCTATGAGTAGTAGTTACAGTAGCTGGCCCTAAAATTAGCTATCATAATTTATCAGAATGTATATATAGAAATATTAGTATCTACAATAGCTGGTAATATTTTCTCATGTAATCTACTGGTATCTAATAATGCTGTTATTCATTAAGTAGTTATTACTATCTAGATTAGCTAGTAATACTATAGAATCTATCCTAGTAGAATCTAACACAGAATCTACCTAGATAATTGCATTAATAAATCTAATATAGAATTATTAATCGTAGTTATTAGAATTCATGAATGAAATTAGTAGTACACTTTGTAGCTAGCCATACAATTTTGTCTCATAATCTATGAGAATCTTAACAGAATTATCTATTCATATCTGTATTTGTATTACTGCAATTATTTATTAAAAATTTTTACTATTGGCATCTAATACATTAATTACCTAATTGTATTTAGTATCTACAGTAGCTCTTAATACAGCTACCCATTAAAATGTATTAGAATGTATCAATAAGAATTATCTATTGCCTAGTATGTAACAGTTGTAATCTATTAGAATTAAGGGAAAATTCCATTAATAACTATTAGTATCTATAGCAGCTATCATTACAATTACCTACTATAATGTCTCATTATCTATTAGAATCTAGTGATAGACTTATCTATGATTAGTCATTGGTATCTGTATTAGTAGCTAATACACCTATCTAGTAGACTCTACTGTTGGGATCTATTAAATTCTACTGACAGTATTATCTTTTAGTATCTACCATCACGTTATATAATTATATATTACAATCTCATACTGCTAATATCTATTAGAATACATTAGTAGATTTGTTAGTACTGGTTGTTCTTAGTGTCTGCAGTGGCTGTTAATGTACCTACCTATTGGAATCTATAAAATTATCAGTTACCAGCTACGAGGGGTATAAACGTGTCCTCTGTTAGAACCTCAACAGGATTATCATCAAAGAGCAGCCTGTACCTTGTTAGTCATTACCAGCTACCAGCCCTTTCTATTTGGTACCAGCCTTGTTCACCACCTCTCAGTAACAGCACCTGTCACCAGCAAACAGAACACATTTTCCTGCCCTGGCCCTGGTGCAAAGGCAGCTTAAGCCAACACTATTCTGCTAGCTTCATCCGTGAAGCAAAGGGCTGGTTTTGGCAAAAGCCACGCCACAGCAGCGTGTACCACTGCAGATGCCTTGCTGAGAGCAGCCAAGCTGAGACCCCAGGGCAGCAGCCACCAGACCACTGTGACCTTCAGCGGTGTCCCCTGTGCCAGGGGTCAGCAGGAGGAGGGGTTTGAGCCAACACTCATCTGCTGGTTTAAGCCTGTTTCCTAGGTGAAAGTCCTGCTGCTGTGGAAGTAAACCTAAAGCTGGGAGTACGCATGGTGCCACCTGCCCTTGGCAACCTGCTCCCGGGGAAGGGCACCTTGAAAATGAGGATGGGAGAGATGTGCTGCCCTGGTGGAGCTACTGCTAGCAAGAACAAACTCAAAATCTGGCTTTGAACTTTGTACTTTATTTTCACATATTTAAAAAAAACCTTGCAAGTATCAGACAAAACTTCTGGAAATTTACACACAATCCAACAAAAATATATATAAACCAAAGCTTTTGCTTCAACAACACTTGTAGCTCACGAGTACAGCTCACCACTTGTTAGGGCGCTGGCCACCGGGCTGCTGCACGGCTCCCTGCTACCGGCAGAGGATGCTGGGGGTGCGCAAGGGGACACCTCTCCTGCTACCCAGGGTTAGCCTCAGCCCCTTGCCAAAGAGCTGGGGGGGAGATAGGCTTGTGGACAGCACAGCGCTGCGAGTATGACTTGGAAGGGCTGATCTCTCTAGGAGGAGGCAGGAGAGTGAGCCATGTTTGCAGGCGGAGAGCTGGGACAGGCCCCAGCAGCGGAAGCTAAAGGCAGACCGCTCGCCCATTGCCCTCTCCACTGCTGGGCTGCTGTAGCACCAGCCTGGCTGTGGGGCCAGGGGTGCCACCAAAGCACGGAAATAAACTGGTTCCACCTGGGGCTGGTAATCATTCAGCACAAAAAAAAAAAAAAAAAAAAAAAAATCCCCTGAGACATAGCCAACTGGCCCTGGCCTAATTTTAACTTTGGGGGAGGTGGGGCTCTGGGACCTGCTGTAGCTAGCAGCCGTGCAGCCCCCCTAAAAGCAATCCAATTCCCTGGGGACTGGGGAGAGGGAAGCCCTCTCACCTCGTGTCAGCAAGGCTACGCTACAAACCAGAGAACCCAAGCCCTTGGTCTGGCATGTGCTGGAGAGATGGGCACCCCCTGTCCTTGCTCTGCCAGGTACTTCCCTCCCTTAGGATCACAGCTACCTGTCGTGCAGATCCCGACCTGTGCAGCACCGCCTGGACATGCTGGGCTAAACCAACAAGACAAGAAGAGTTCAAAGGAAAAGCAAAGCACTAACACCTCCCCAGCAGCTGGCAAACACTGCTCTAACACACCACTTCCATTCTTCGCTCATCTAACCTGCACACTGCTACATCTAAGGTACCTGGGACATCCCAAAAGTAAAAGTAAAATTTCACCAGCTTTTCTCAGCAAGCTTGGAGTAAAACATATCAAAACCTTCCCACACACATGCAGGACAGATTTCCTGAAAAAGCCTCAAATCCTTCCACCAGGTAGCTTAATGGGATATTTCTTTATAATATTGTTGTTGGCTTCTCTGTAGTAGTAAGCAAGTCCAGCTTTGCTGCTGCTAAGTCGACAACCTGCAAGCCCACGGTTGAGGTAATGGACAGGCGAATCAAGGGGGCGTGAGCCCCCGTGTGTTGGGGCTCAGCACTGCAATGCAGTAATTGTCTCTGGCCATGCTCCCCAGGTACTGGAGCAGGGGTGGGACAAGGCAATCCAAGAGCAGGAAAAGTTTGAAAGAAGAAAGCACTTAGTAGATTCCGTCTCTAGTTTCTCAGATCGATGTATTTCTCGCTCTTCAGTCCACCAAAACAGAAAGAGGTATAAAAAAAAAAAAAAAAAAATCAATCAGTTAGGGATGAACACAAAACCAGGTCCTCTACTGTACGTGTCTGTGTGACAGACAGCAATGCAATGGGGGAGAGCCACCAGCCCCGGCCACCCCATGGTGGCGGAGCATCAGCCCCAGGGCAAGGGGCAGTGAACAGGAGCTGAGTGAGCAGCAGGACCAGGGTGGGGTTATCCTGGCCTAAGGCAAATAAAACCACAGCAAGCTCAGGTGCTGCATCCTAAGACTCCTCAGGACATGCAAGCCTTAGCATGGTGATAGTCAGGCACCAGTACCATGAATAGCTGCTCAAGCCCAGCTCGAACCCAGCTGAGAGCATGTGGCCCAGGAGATTCATCTCACCCCGCACTGGGAGCTCTGGCTCAGAGATGCCAGAGCAGGGCCCAGTTCTGCAGTTTCCCCCCCTAGCCAGAGATGTTTATGCAGTTCCTTCTCCCAGATACCCCGGGGAAGCCCAGCTCCTGCTCCCGGGAGCACAGAAGGAGGCAGAGCCAAGCAGGCTGGGCAGTGGGCAGTGTGCTCCCAGGAGGTAGCAGGGGCTGGCACGGAGCGCGTGCGCAGGGGAGGGCTGCTCCCACATCCCTGGAGCAGAGAACCAGGGCTTTGTCACCTCCCCTCCCTCCCACAGCCCCTCTCGAGCGCTGATGATGGATGATGGAGGCCCATGCAGGGTGCAGAGTGCTGGGAGATGAGCTTGCAGAGAGGAGAAAAGCATTACCTCAATGCACCCCCATAGACTCCTCACCTCTGTTACCAGCCCTGGGAGCAGCCCTGGCCCTGGGGAAGGGCAGTGCACGACGCTCTGTCCTACCTGGTCAGCGGCAGGTCTCTTCTCGCCGTTGGCACCCTGCAGGAGCCCCGCCTCTTCGGAAAGTTTATCTGACTTAACTTCAACTACAATCTTGTCTTTACGAGCCTCTGGCTTTGTGCTAGGGGAGGGAGGTGACAATTTTGAGACATGTTTGCGATACCAAAGAGGGTACGTGGCCGACTGAGCAAAGCCAAGCCCTGGGGCTCCATCTCAGGGGATGCTCTGGAGCAGAGCTGGGGCAGAAGAAAGCCAGGGCTGAAAGAGACTCCGGCTCACAGAAAAATTTGGGCTACCCAGCCCCTCCCTGGGGAGGGTTCCCTTGGCTGCTCTACCACTCTGCTGTCCTCATTGCCTCCCTGTGCAGACGGGGCAAGCAGTGCGGAGCCCAGGCTGTGGGAAGCTGGAAGCGCTGCTGAGACCCCAGCGTGGTGCCCCCAAGGCTGCACTATTGCCTCCCCCCGTGATGGGCAGGGAGCGGCTGGTGCAATAAGATGGGAAGCATGAGTGATGGCAAGCACCTCTGGCCCCAAGGGCTCCCTGGGAGGGCAGGCAGCAGTGCTTACATGTCCTGTTTTCCAGCACGGCCACATGGGATCTTGCCTTTCTTGTGCAGGAAGTAGATGACAGACCCCAGCACAGCCACCACGAGGATGCAGACGATGATCGCCACAATGATCACCCCTTTGCTCTCTGGTGTCTTTTCAGCTAAACACAGTGAGAGAGGAAGAAGTTAATGACTGTCCCACCCTGATGCTCTCCAGCTTCTGCATTACTGCAATCCACTGGGGGCAAGGAAAGGACCCCTTCCCCAAGAAAGCACCATGGAGACTCCAGTTCCTGGTGCTTCTCTAGCTCCCTGCAGGATGCAGATGTCGGTAGAAAAATGCTCCATTAAGGCAATTTCTGTATGAATACACCTCGCATTCTGCTCCCGGCTGCCACACCCCCAGGTGCTGAAGGAGGATGGCTTACAGGGTTTCCTGCAAGACATCAGGCCATCCCTCTGCTTCCTCGCCCAGCAGCCATGGGCTGCAGGAAGCTGCACTTGATGGCCTTACTGGGCTACAGGCTGAGGACAAGCAGGCAGTTTTCACACCGCTGAGAAACAGGCAGAGACGGAGCCTCTGTTTCCCTCACAGCTTGGCAGGGAGAGAGGAGTAGCAAGAGATACAGTGCAAGAGCCAGCAGCCAAGGCTCCCTTCCCAGGCCAGAGGTGAGCATGACTCCCATCTGTGGCATGCTCCGGCCAGAGCCCAAGCTGACAGATGCGTGCACTCAGTGCAGTGCGGAGACTGACCTTTTCTCACGGATTCCACTGGTAGAGCAGGAAGGGAGGGAAAGAGACAGTGCTCAGCCACACCGCACCAGCACGGCACACATGGCGCCTGTGCGAGGGGGACCAAAACTTCTCTTGGGTCCTGGGACAGAGGGCAGTGCCTGAGACTCACCCAGCAGCTGGATGTGCTTCTCGCTGGCACCCAGTGCGTTGAAGACCCTGCACATGGCTCCTGCCTGCAGCAGGTCGTGGTTCACACGCACTGTTAGGTTGCTGGCGATGTGCTGATTTTCAAAATACTCATGAGCCTGTGAGGAGGAAAGGCAGCAAAGGATTCAGTGCCCAAGGCAATGCGCGGCCCCTCTGATAGACCACGGCCTGGACCCAGCACCCTCCCCAGCACTCACTGTCCCGTTGACATTCCAGCGGAGAGAAGGCCTGGGGAAAGCGATGGCCTTGCAGGTCAAGTTCACCACCTCGTCCTGCCGCACGTACAGTGGGGAGCTGATGGCGACGATTCGCGGCTTCCCTGTGGGGAGGGCACATCAGGCACCCGTGGTTCTCGGGAGGAACAGGGCCAATGCTGGGCGGGACGGGGCTCACTCTGACAGGGTGGCATGCCCTCACACACGCTGGTTCTTACCATGAACAGCCACGGCCACCTGCTTGCTCTGCTCCAGCCCCGGCACACTTGGTGCAATCACCTTGCAGCTGAAGTTGCTGGAGGTTTCAAAGGTGAGGTTGCTCAGGAAGAGCTGGTTCCCATCAGCAACCTTCCTGCCCTGTTGGGAAGGGATGCCCCCAGGCAATGAGCCCCAAGTACCAGGCCCTTCTGCACCCAGCTCCCCAGGCTCTGCAGCTGTCCCAAAGGGCATCAGCCACCTCTCTCATGCACAGCGAGGGAGCCTACAAGCACAGGACCTAGCTGCAGTACTGGTCAGTAGGTGAAGAGGTAGAGATGGGCAATGCAGGTCCATGGAAGGGGGAATTCTACCCCTGGCCTCTCTCAGGAGAGATGGAGCAAGCTCCTGGCCCTGCCCAGTTTGCTGCAAAGCCCAGGCTCATCGAGCTTGAGCATGACAGTACCCGAATACCTGCTCACCTTCTCATCCCTCCACTGGTAGTCCAGGGCCACAGGGCTGTGGGCATCACAGCTCAGCCTCACACTATCCCCTTCCTGAAGGGGTGAGGACGGCTCCATCTTCACATTGACCCCTTCAATATCTAGGAGAGGGATGAAGACCAGGGCAAGGTGAGCAGGAGGGATGAGGCACCCACCACGAGGTCCGCAGGGTCCCATCCCCCTGCCTTACAGTTCACAACAAGCTCCACATCCTTCTCTAGCTGCTTCATATCATCCAAGTCTAGGGTCTGGCATCTGTATAGGCCGCTGCTGCTCTTAGTGACATTGTGCAAGTTCAGCACCCCACTGTTGGAGTCTGCCAGCGAAGACAAGTCCTGCCAGCTGTCATCCAGCTGCAGGCAGTGAGGAGAGAACAGAGCCCTTAGCACCACACAGGCACCTTCCACCCCAGCTGCTGCATCCCACTCCCCAGGGCCCTTTGGGCAGAGGACAAAAAGCAGCCAGGACATGAGATGTCTGTCAAGGGAGAGGTGCCCAGGTCCCCTCTGGCCCCACCTCTATCTTATAGAAGCTGAAGACAGGCGCTGGGTTCCCATCAGCCTCACAGACCAGCTTCACATCATCCCCTTCCTTCACCAGGGCAGAGGATGGCATGACCTGCAGCTTCACATGCTGCGCAGGATCTGGGGGAGGGAGGAGGGAGCAGAGAAGGTCAGTGTGGAGCCCTGCCATGTGGCACCAGGCAGCAGGCATGACCCCCAGCCCCAGCCCCCGACTCACAGAAAACGTTGACCTTGACTTGCCGTGACTCCACGGCATGGCTCTGTCCCCGCAGCCAGTAGAGCACGGTGCAGTGGTAGAGGGAGTTGCGGTCCGCCCGGGTGACGCGGGCAAAGAGGGTGCTGACCACTGTGTACAGCCCACTCGACTCACGGGTCAGCGTGGCCAGGATCTTCACCTCTACAGGGGACACAGCCACTGTACCCAGCCCGCAGGGAGGCCACGAGAGAGAGGAGGGCTCCCTTGGGAGCACAGGGCTCCTTTGGGTGGCTACTAAACCCCAGCCAGTGAGGTCCTGGATAACACAAGTGCCCTGGCCCCTCTCCTGAGCAGGCAGGCGCCGTTCCCCATTCCCATCCTACTCACTCTTCTCCTTTGGCTGCAGCTGCTCCCCATCCTTGTGCCACGTGATGTTGGGGAGCGGGAAGCTGTTCCTGCTCACACACTGGGCAATCTGCAGCAGCAGAGAGAGCCTTGAGCACAGGGTGCCCCATGGGGAGAGGGGAGCGAGGAGTCTGGCATGGCTGGGACCCTCCCCGTCCTCCATGGGGGGGCCTCTCCTCACCTGTGGGATCTCAATGCTCTGCACAGAGACTCCTCCTGAATTAGCTGTGATCTCAGGGGCCTCAGGGACCTCTGGAAAGAGAAGCCACCCCATGCGTATTAGGAGGAACGGGACAGGATCCCCTGCCAGCCCCGCAGTGCAGATGCACAGCTGTGCTGCCCTCCTGCTCCACCACTCACTGTAGACGCGGAGCTCTGTCTGGTTCTCGCCCACGCCATGGCTGCCTGCCCCGACCTGGCAAACGAAGGTCCTGGTGTCCTGCACCGTCACCCTGCTGATGGAGAGGGCCTTGTCCTCCCCCACTGACAGACGCCCCTTGTAGTCCATGTTCTCCTCCACGATCTCGCTGCCCATGATATGGCACAGCCTCACCCGGTTGTTGCGTTCGATCTGCAAGGTGAGGAGTCGAGGCTGAGCTGATGGGGAGCCTGGGAAAAAGCCCCAGACTAGCTGCCACCCCAGCCCACCGCCCACTGCTCCTCACCCAGGCCAGCACTCACATAGAACCAGTTGATGTAGGCATAGGAACCATTTCCAGGGACGTAGAAGTTGCACTCGATCCTGGCCGTGCCCCCGCTCTCCACTTCAACCACTGCTGGCATGGAGACCTCCAGCTTGCTAGCTGCTGCTGCAGGACAGAGCCCGTCAGGGGTGGGAAGCACAGGGAAGTCCCCAACTCTGAGCCAGCGAGGGAGCTGAGCCCAGGCCTGTCCCCATTTCCATCCCTCAGAGGGCGTGGGGCAGAGCCATGACCTGTGCTAGCATCCCCCAGGCAGAGTGTCCCAGCCCAGGGGGAGTGCCAGTCAGGAGCATGGCCCCACTCCCACCACCACGCTGCCTTCTGCGTCCACAGAGCCCACGAGCTCAGACCACCAACCCCGGTCCCAGAGAGGGGACGAGGCATGCTGTGCTCACACCACCAGTCACCCCAAGACACACGGAGATAATCACACACCCCACTGCTGTTGCAGACCCTGCCAGACCTGCCCTCCCCACAGCATCCCAGCCTTGCTGAAGTGGGCAGCAGGACCTCTGAACCCTCAACCCCCTGCCCCCCCCATATATACCACCAAGGCAGGGAGCATCTGCACCCTATCCAGGAATGGGTATGGGAAGGGGCTGCATCTCCACAGTCCGCAAGCAAGTGGATCGCCTTGCCAGCTGCCTTAATCTGAGTCTGGGGCAGCGTCGATCCCCCTCACATCCCAGAGAATGCAACTACCCCTCCCAGCATGAGCCAGCATCCCAGACCAGCACCCACCATGCCTTACTGGCCCCAAGGGCCAGGCAAGGAGGTGTCAGGAAGTTAGTGGAGGTTAGCAAAAGCAGGGGAAAAGGCCAGGTACTGGTGAGTGAGTCTGGCAGCACAAAGGCTGCACCTTCCTGCAGCCCAGGACCAGAACCCTGACGTCAACCTGCATGGCCCCCGCAGCAGCCCCGTGAGCTAGGGCATGAATGAGGCGCTGTGTTCCTCGTCAGTGGGATAGGGCACACAGAGAAGCAGCTCAGGAAGGGTGCCCCAGCCAGCTGCGGCTGCCTGCTGCTCCCTTTCCCCCTCCAAGGCAACAGGGACCGTCAGGGAGGCAGCACGCCCCCAACCAACACGGCTGTGGCACAGCCAGGACTCGCAGGTCCCTCCCCAAGCTCTGATCCTGCCACCCAGGCAAGAACCCAGAACCCAGCAGTCGGAGCATCCAATCTTGCAGCACACCCAGGGTGAGCTCCTCACTGCTCCTCTGCTCCCTGCCCATAAAGCAAACCCTGCACTGCCTGCCCACAGCACGGGTGGCACCAGGGAACCCCACCCCCAGTGAACAGAGCCTGCCTACCCTGGCATCCCACCTTCCTGCCCAGCCCAGCTGCCTGCTTGCCTGCAGCAGTAATGGAGTTCTTGGCCACACTCCAGAGCGGCAGGGGAAGGTAATGGCTATCGATCCAGGACAGGGAACAGAGCAGCTTCCCGAGGGGCTGGGAGTAGAGCGGTCCCAGCTGGGCACAGCAGATATGAGGGCTGCGTCACAGCAAGGGTGGGACTGCGATCGCCACCGGCTATGCGGGTGCCAAAGCATGGGGGAGTCTGCATGCCCCGGGGCTGGCACACTGCCCTGCAGCAACAGGGCCAGCCGGATTGACACCCACGGCCCAGTCCAGGTATGGGAGATGGGGACAAGAGGCTGGAGGAAGCCAGCTGTGTCAACAGCTCCCTTGATAGTGCCGCTCAGTAACAGCCACAGAGCCTCACAAGCAAGGCAACTTCAAAGGGCAATGCTGTGCCCACAAAATACTCTTTGTCTGGAGTGGGCATGTGGTGGCAGAGCCTCAGAATGCAGCCAGGAGCCCTCCTGCCACAGCAAAGGCCCTGGCTCACAGGACTAGCCACCTCAGGACACCCCAACAGCCAACTCTTGGTCCTCACTCATCCCATCTGCACAGCACAGTTGGCACTAAGCAAAGAGGGGCGAGCAAAGCACTGCACAGGAAAGGAGGTGCTAGAAAAACAGGTAAAAGCCCCAGAGATAAGCATGCACTGGGGTCAGGAAACTGGACCGAGAACACACAGGAAAAGATAACTTTGAACCGGAGGCACCTGCCCACCTGCACGGCCATGACTTGGCTGTCTGGTGCTGCCAGGCACCTGCAGACTTGGGCAAGCCTGGGGCTGGGGTGCACCCCAGCTGCCCTGCTGCACCCCCCCTTGAGCCCCGACACTTCGGTCTGCAGGCAGCCAAGCCAGGCTTTGCCAAACCCCCCCAACATTTTTAGACTTTCAGCATGGTCCCTGGGCAGAGCCAGCCCCTGGAGAGGGAGGGCTGCTGGCCCGCTCCGATGACCTGCTCGGCATGAGAGCCCTCATGCAAGCAGCGAAACAGCAGAAACCATGAGCTCAGAGCTGGAGAATGGCTGGCATCTGGGGCTGGCATGAGGCACACGTCCCTCCCACCCATCCACTGCCCTTGAGGAGGTGGACATGGACGCTGCAGCCCCCACTCTGCCTGGAACAAGGTTTCACTGCTCCCCACCTCCTCCAGGGCAGGCTGGATACCAGACCTCCCTCGGGCTGGAAGGAGCACCCAGCAACACTGCAAGTGGAGCCAGCTGGGGGACACAAGGCCCCCCACAACCCCGGGGACACAAGGCTTCCTCCTGCAGCTCTGCCAGGCGCGTGGGCAGGCTGGAGAGGCACTGGGCACAGGCATCCGGGCATAGCAGGGTCTGGGTACATGGCCAGATCCTCCCTTGCGCCCTGCACGGCTGCAAACACCGCTTTGGTGAGGCAACCTGGGCAGGGCTGGAGACCCACTGGCCACGCAGGGAGCAGCCCAGCAGCAGAGCTGAGCTCCAGCCTGCACCGTCCACCCCAAGCACCTGGCACAGCTCCAGAAGGAGACCTAGAGATCTGGAAAGGATGTCTGCAGCAAAGCAGAGAAGGGAGGAGAACCCCCGTGCCTTTCCATCTGGCTGGCGGACAGCCGGCCGGCAGCCAGGGCTCCGCAAGAACAAAGATTTGCTTTTAGAGACGGGGAAGGGGGTGGGGAGTAGCACAACGCCTCCGCCAACCTCCTGCGGAGCCGAGGTGTGTGTGGGGGGAACAGCGCGGCTGCGTTGGCGGCGCCAGAGCCCCCGCGCTGAGCCCCCGCCACAGAGCAGCGAGAGGAGGGGCACTACCGGGGTCTGGAGCCGCACACGAGATGCCTGAGGTTTCCACGGATTTCTGCTCCCCTCTTGGGGAAACCAGCTGTGGCCAGATCCCTTCTGCTCCCAGCACATGCACACGTGCTGCCCTCCTCTGCCCTGGCAAGGCTGTCCTTCCCGCACAGACCCCTGCACCTGGGTGCCCCAGCTCCTGCGGAGCAGGATCACCTGCACCCCTTCTTCCTCCTAGAGAGAAAAAACAGGGTGCAGAGCTCCAGCCCTGCAGCAAGCAGCACCAGCGCTCAACAGCCTCTGCCCCAGCCCAGCCCTCACTGTGCCAGGGCTGGAACCAAGGCTCTGCTGCAGCAGGGACCAGCACCTTGCACCCCCAGACAAAAACCACACCACCCTGTGAGGACCCAGGCATGTGCCCCAGGAACGGGAAGGCTCACAACCCCAGCCCTGCAGCCAGGTGACAGCACTCACAGAGACCTAACAGCCGGAGATTGCAGTGCAGAAGGGGCCAGGGTGGTACTGGCAGCCCCCGGGTGGGCTCAGCCCCCCGCGCTGGCAGTGAGGTGAGGCCCCCCCGGCCCGCCTGTGAATGGCTTGGCGGTAGCCCCTCATGCTTCTGGGATGCATCGAGCCTTTTGCCGTGGCTGGGCTTGCAAACACACCGATGCCGCCAACCAGTAAACGCCCCGCTCGGCACATGTGTTGTGAGGAAGGGGATCCCAGCACGGGCCGGGGGTGGCAGCAGCCTGCCTTTGGCTCGGGCTCTCCCGCGGAGCCAACGCCTTGGCCAGAGCAGCTTCCCCGGCGCCTGGGGCCACCTCCGCAGCGTGGCTGGGCAGGGACAAGGCGAGAAGGCGGCAGGGAGCAGCCAGCGCACCGGCACCGCTCCCTGGCCCCCGGCGAGGGGAGAGCACGAAGCGGGGAGCAGGGCAGGGCAGGAAATGCAGCCCTTCCCTGCCGCCCCCCCGAGGGTGAAAATGGACTGGAAAGAGGTTAAAAAAAGAAAGTGTGAAAAAAGCCAAGAGAAACACAGTGCTCAGGGAAAAAACTCCTTAGAAGGAAAGGGGTGGATGCTTCCTAATAACTCGACCAATTCACCCTGCTGCACACTGAACACACGTGGGGCACACCCCGGCACCCTGCCCCACAGAGCACGGCCCCGGGAGGCTGCCTTGCACCGGCCACCTTTCCCTGGCCGCTGCCCCCCGGGACGCAGAGACCACCCCTCGCTCTGCCCTGCCTTGCGGGAGGCTGCAGAGGGGTCCCGAGAACGGAACCGGGCACTCCCGGCTCGCCCCACGCCCAGACCCACCCCCGCCGCCGCCGCGGAGCCCGGGGACGGGCAGGCGAGGTCGTAGCCCCGCGGGGGCTGCTCCCACCTAGGCTACCACGATTTTGGCATTCCTGGCCCCAAGTCAGGCAGCGCCCGAAGGGCGTCAGCTCTGCCGGCTGCCGGGGCTGGCCCCGGTGCGGCTCTGCGGGGAAGACCCCCGCCCCATCGGCTGCCGCCCCTCGCCCCCTCTTCGCGCCGGGCAGGGGCCGGCAGACCCCCGCACCGGAGCGGCGGCTGCAGCCCGGCGCCCCCCCCGGGCAGCGGCGAGAGCGGGGCCGGCGGCAGTGCGGGGCCAAGGGGCAACCGCGGCCGCCGCCCACCCCGCAGGTGCCCCCTCCCGCCCCCCGGCCCCACTCACCGCAGCAGAGCAAGAGGCAGCAGCACCCCCAGCCCAGGGCGAGCCCCGCCGCCCGCCGCCCCCCAGCCATGCCCGCCGCCGGCCGCCCTCGACTGAGCGGGGCTGCGGGCTGACGTCAGGAGGAGGAGGAGGGGGGCAGGAGGAGGAGGAAGGCGCGGTGCCTGCCCACCGCCCGCGGCAGCGCCCCCCCGAGCCGATCCCCACCCTCCACGCCCCTCCCGTCTCGGCACGGGCTGTTTTCAGGCGTTTCTAGCCCTGCGGGGGGGGGGGCTGGCTCCCGCTCGCTTGCAGACCCGCAGCCCGGCCCCTCCTGCCTGCCCAGGCTTGCGCGGGCTGATCGGAGCAGACTGGCGGGCGCTGGAGGTGGGAATCGCGGGCAGAGGTGGGGGGTCGGGCCGGTTTCCACAGGGACAATGCCCGAGAGGGGGCCAGTGCCCGAGAGTCCCACGTCCAGGCGTCCGTGGATCCGGCTAGCAGTGCTTCGGGGCTGGGTTGACCTGCTCCATAGCTCAGCCCTGCACTGCCCCGAAGCCCAGCCACAGCTTCTGGGTTGCCTTTGAACCCACGCATGCGGACTCAAAAATAGGGGGATCAAACCGCTCTTCCTCATTGCCTGGGCTCTGAGAGACATCTGGACACCTGGGGACAGCAGGGACCTGGGGGAGCAGCAGGGACACGAGGGTGGTGCCGTCCCAGGCAGGTCACTGAGGTCTGCAGGGTCGGCACCCCAGGCCCTCCTCTGCCTCAGTCTCCATACACACGGTGCCCCCAGCCCCTCGGCAAAGCCCCATCCCTGACCCCGAGGCACGGCCCTGCTCCGTGGGGCGCAGCGAGACGCGGCCTGAGTCCCCATACAGCTGTTGGGCACAGCCGTGGGAAAGCTGGTAGCTGCGGTGGACGGGGCAGCACGCCTGGCAAGGGGCCGGCCCAGGGGGGGGCTCTCAGGGTTGCACAAGGCTGCTATTATCCAGGGCTAAGCACCCTGTCCAAACACAGCCCTGCCCCTCCTGCAGCTCAAACAACTCCCCAGGTTGGAGAAACCTCCTCAACAAACCTCCTCAAGTGCTGCGAGTTGCCCACAGCCAAACATGCAGGACGCTCGGTTCCAGTGCCCCTGCTCCATGGCAGCCTGTCTTTATGCCTCAGTTTCCTCTCATGTCAATCAGAGCCAGAGTGGCTTTGTTGGAGGACAAAGCACTGGGTTTTCTTCTTCAAACCCCTTCTGCCTGCCACACTCTTGCTCCCTATTCACACAGGAGTCCCAAAGCTCACTGACTCACATTCACCCCACCTGAGGAGAGGCCCAGGGCAGCCCCAGCATCTCCCAGAAGCATCGAGAGCGCTCTCCTCCAGCTATCGACCCAGGAGCTCTGAACCTTTGCATATCCTCTTCTCTCCTCCACTTGCTTTTCCGGCAGCGTAAGCTGTGCTCCAGGCCCTGGGCAGCATGGGCTGCATCTCTCTAACCACCCTGAGCCACTCTGGGGCCAGGCTGCAGGTTCCCCTGGGCCACAGCATTCCTCTTGGGAATCCTCAAGTGCCTCTCATACTGCCAGCCCCTCCAGCAACCCTGTACTGGCCCCCAGCCCCAGCCCTGCTCCCCCACCGGTGCCATGCAGCGGCCCTTCCCATGCCCTCCTCCTGCCTTGTCTGCGTGCCAGGCCAGCCCCCCCCAACACTTTCCCAGCCAAATAGGCTTGATGATTCATCGGAAATGATTAAATTTTTTCCCCACGAGATTAGTTGCTTAAAATGGCAATGCTGGGCAGTGATAAGGCTTATAGCCCTTGCATTGCTGGTGCAGAGGAGAGGCCTCCTCCCAGCTAGCGTGTTCACCGGGAGGAACAAGTGCAAGGGAGCTGTGCCATCATGCACGGGCTGCTCACGAGCTGCTCTCCGGCCCCATGGCTGCAATGTGAGGATGCTCTCACAGCCGACAGTGGCAGGAGCTCCCTGGGAACAGCCACCCCCCAAGCCGGTGCACAGGCCTTGGGGGCCCCCTAACAATGTGCTCACACTTTCCTCTCCCTACAAAAGGCACTTTCCTCTCCCTCCTCTGGCAGCACCAGAGGAGCCTCAGGCTCTGCTCCCCTTGGAGGAGGGAAAGGTATGTTCCATTTTGCACAAAATATCACTATTTAAGCCTCGCAAATGCCACCCTACAAGGGAAGAGGGCCCAAGGGGTCCTGCTTTCCCGCGGGAAAGCATCCACCAAGTCAAACAAACAAGCGTGACACCACAGATGACACACTGCTGGTGCTAACATTCATTCTGTGTTAAAAATAAAGCGAAATGTTGCTAATAAAACCTCTGCATAAAATTCCCAGCAGTTGGAAAGGGCAATGCCGCTCCCTGGAGAAAAGAGGCTGGCCAACCACTGCAGCAGGGACTATGCCACCCTGAAACAGCCTTCCACTGTTACTGCCACAGCCATGCCTCCAGTTGGTCAGGCTTCTGCTTTTCGGACCATTTAACTTTGAAGAAAACATTTTTTTTTCCCTAATGAACTAATGGTTCTGGGGAAGATGGGCAGGATTTGAAAGCAAGGCTCTGCTGCCCTCACAGCTGGCATGAAATCGCCCCACCACACTGTGTGTGGCACCCGGTGGGCTCGGGGTCTCTGTGTGGGGACCGCAGCAGGCTGGCCACCTTCATCTTCCCTCTCTGCCGCCTTATCTCACGCCTTTTTATTTATTTGCATCCCTAATGCATTTGGCTTCAGCCTCCCATTCACCGTTGTGCAAACAAACAGTGTGGATTAAGCTCCCGTGTCGCAGTCCCACGCGCGCAGCCTGGGGTGGGAAGGTCAGGGCCCACGGGTCTGGCCCCAGCTGAGGCACGGAGCAGCTTTCACTCTCCAGCAGCCAAGGGAATATGGGTGTCCGGACCCCCATGGCCCTCAGCGCTGTGCTTCTCCCACCCTGTTGACACCTCTTGGGTGAGAGGCTGCGCCTGGGCAGGTGTCTCTGGCCCTGAAGCTGTGGGACTTGCTGGCCCCTGGCAGCGCAGTTGGACAGCCGCTCCTCTCTGCTGGGAAACCTGGGGACCACAGGACAGCTCGTGGGCACAGCCTGCCTGAGCAGGGCTGATTATCCTGGCATTATCTGAGCACTGAAGGTTGCAGGCACAATTTGGAAGCGTGTAATTGCATTTGCCTTTCTTCTCTGGCTCCTGCTGAGCCTGGCTCTCTGCAGCGGGAGAGGAGCGATGGCCAGTGTGCAGAGCCAGGCATCGGGCCTGGGGCTGAGCACAAGCTGCATCCTAGCATGCACGTCAGCTCCTTTCACCTTTCCCAGCCTTCCCAGCAAGACCCCTGGGGCTTATCTGGGTCCTGCCAATGCTGCCAGAGGAAGCTGGCCCTGGTGCAGGCTGTGCAGGCAAGCAGCACTGTTCTCCCGCTATGCGTGCTCTGACATGCTGCTTGGCATGCCCCAGGTGCGGACGGGGGCCCCATGCCTTCCCCAGCCCCTGCAGCCCCTGACCATGTTGATGGGGCCCAGAACATCCCAGCTGGCTCAGCAGGGGTCTGTGAGGTGCCTGGGGTGCTCTGTGTGCCGCCTGCCTCCCAGCGAGCCCCCTGCCAGTGCCGGTGAGTGATGAGCTGTCGGCTGGCGCTGGCTTCCTGTGTGGCTCCAGGGTCGATGAAAGGCAGACGTGCAGGGCGGAAGGCAGCTGCCGCATCCGCCCGGGCCTGCACCTCTTCACACAACACTGTCAGGGCCGAGAGGGGCCCCGCTCCCTTGGGAAGGGATGGGACGCAGGCCAGCGATGTGCTTTCCCACACCGCCCAGGAACAGACCACCACTTCCCTGCCGCTGAGGCACGGCAGTGCTAAGGCTCACTACCTCCAGGCAGAAACCCCAGGGGTACCTCCCCGCCAGCCTCTGGTGCTGCATTTGGGGCTGCTTTAGGGCTCATGCAATGCACTGCGGTCTGGGGTAAGTACAGGGACCTGCCTGGGCTGTCTGACCTCTGGCTCCCCATTCTCTGGGTGGAAAACCATGAGGGATGGGCTATCAGATGTGCCATGAGGGCAAAGCTGCCTTGGGGTACCTCCACCCCATCTCCGTCCACCTCCTGGAGCCCTCTTTGATGCCCCTGTCCTACAGCTCAGGAAAACGCCTTCTTCCACCCCCCCCTCCCCCTTCCTCGGCTAGGTTCCCAGCGACTTCTTTGTGTCTCCCCTCTCCTTCCTCTCCCCTTCTGCAGGGCCTTTATGTGGGGATTATTAACCATGGCTACAGGGCCTTTGTTTAGGAGGGGCTGGGAGCAGGAGCAGGGTGAGGGGCTGGGCGGGTGGAGGAAGGAAGGATGTGAGCAGAAGGGGGGAAGGAAGGTGACATCTGGATTTCTGCGCCGGAGGAGCACACTCTCCCAGGGCAGCTGTGTGGAGACGGCCAGGGGCTTGGCGGATGCAGAGCGGCGGCAAAGTCCCAAAGAGGAGCCAAGCTGGAGAGTGTCACCCAGCCCCACAACATCCAAAGCGCAGCCCACAGCATCTGCACCGGTGATGGTGCTGCTGTCAGAGGAGCCCCAGGGCTCCAGCTCCCCTGCAAGGGCTGGCTTGTGGCATGCAAGTGACATGGGCTTGGCCACAATCCACAGGGAGCAGTGGAGGGGTGGCAAGGAAGGCTGTGGAGCCGTGCAGCCCTCCCTGCACACCCTCCCCCAGGGGCCTGACCTGTGCTGTGTGCGGGACGGAGGGACAAGGACAGCTGGGGGAGGGAGTGGTCCTGGGGAAACCTTAGCCAGCTGGCAGCCACTGCCTAGGCACAGGGGGAAGGAGCCCTCTGCCCGGGGCAGGCCTGTCACTTGACATCCCGGGGGTACAGGCTCCCCACGGCCCAGAGCAGGTGCAGCCCTGGGACAGCCACATACTGCCCTCTCGCTCGCACATGCACAGCCAGGCTGGCTGGTCACGTATGTGCCCCAAGCTCCTCTCCCAGCCGCGGCGTGCTGCCTTCCTGGTGCGAACAGCAGGCTCTGGGGCTGGAGCTGGGTGGAATGGGGGCTGATGGCAGCAGGGGAAAGCTGGGAGCCCCGGGATGGCTATTTATAAACCGCCCTTTTCCTTCGGAAGACTTCCGAGTTCATCTCCCCCCAGCAACCAGCCGGAAAAAGGCCCCATTGTCTTGGCACCAGATGGACCGGGGCCGGGCGCTCACCCACACAATGGGGTGGATTATGTGCCCAGCCGGCGGGGGTCCGGCAGCGGGACGCCCAGGAGGAGCAGCTGCCATCAGCGCCCACGCAGCAACCCCGCGGCATTGGCTGCAGGGCTGAGAGGGAGGCGGGCGGGGGTCCCGGCCACACTCATTACTCACCCCTGCTAATGCCACAGGTCTTGCACCACAGCTTCCCAGAGGAACGGGGAGAGGGAACGCCTCTGCCCTGCGCTTTGTGTCACCCAGCTTTATCAGCTTGCTGCGGTGTTGCTGAGCTGCATGCTCCCCACTACCAAGGAAGAGAGGAGAAGCCAGCAAGAGGGCCCGGATTCACCCCTTGTACTTGCCTGCTGCCCCAGGCAGTGAAGTCTTCATCCTGGTTTTGTCTGCAGGGCTTGGGAGTCCTCCAGGACAGCTCATTAGGTGCAACTGCAAGAGAGTATAATGAGAGATTAGTCCCAGGCAGGTGGTGAGGCCAGCCCTAGCTTTGGGGGAGCCCCTCTCACACCCATGGGCTGTGGAGGATCCCTTTGGAGGGCTTTGGAGAAGGCTCTCTGCTGCTGTGAGGGCACATGGAGTAGGGATGAGGACAGATGAGGGCTGCCTGGGAGAAAGCAGCGAGCAGGGTGCAGTCCCTATGCCACCTCCCCGCACCACTGGCCCTGCGCCCTGCTCAGCCCCACAGCATCAGGGACACGATGGAGCACCAGGGCTCAGGGGAACTGTGGGGCTGGCCAGGTTGAACAGGGATTTCTCCTTGCAAGACTTTCCCATGGAAGAGGACTTGTTTTTCCCAGGGACATCTGGCTGGGCTCCAGGGGGAGAGAGATATCCCAGCTCCCTTCGTGGGGAGCCACACAGCCCTGCAGAAACACAGTAGGCAGCCCTTGTGCTCCCGCTCTTCCACCAGTCTGCAGGGCAAATGAAGGTTGGGAAGGTGCCTGCTGCCGGGGACACCAGGGGAGATGGGCACCCTCCAGCTGCCGAGCTCTCCCCAGCAGCCTCAGCTGTGAGGCATGCGGGGCGGATGCTGGCTGTCATTCCCTGCTGGCAGGGACGCATACGGTGGGGGAAACCATCACCTTTACCTCCAAGGCTAGGCGAAGGCCAGAGGAAGAGGGAGCCACGCCATCCTGGAGCTGAGCCTGCGTGAGGACGGGAAACTTTCCTGGAGCAGATGCACCGGAATGAGCTATTGTTCCAGCCTGGCCTGTGAGCACGGGGCTGCAGGCGCCCGCCGCCACGCTGAGGCATCTGCCCAGCCCCTGGTAAGGGCATCTTGAGGGGACCTGAGGTAAGGCTGCTGGCAGCACTCAGGAGTACTGTGCTGGCTGGCTTTTCCCAGGTGTTAGGGCTGCTGCATGGACGGGGGTCTGCAGGAGAGGGTACCCTGGGGATAGTCCCAGTTGCCCTGCCAGCCCTGAATGTGCTGGAAGAACTGGCATGATGCCAGCAGGACCCACATCCAGAAACACCCTTCCTGCCTCAGGGCAGTGGCAGGGTAGGATGTGCCCGTGCAGCAAGGGCCTAGGGAGGCAGGGGAAGATGCTAGGGCTGGGGAAGCTCTATGTCCCTCTGTAGAGGCAGGCCTGGAGGGAGCTGTGGTGGTCCCCAGCACTGTCTCCCAGTTCCGCTGCTGCAGGCTGTGCTGCCAGTCCTTTATCTGCCTCATTTTTCCCATTCCTCTGACACCCACAGCCTGTTCCCAGCCAGCCTGCTGGGACCTGCCCAGGGTGCAATGCAAGGCAGTCCCAGCACTGCTAGCGTGGCTCCAGGCTCTGCATAGCCTGGGCCCCAGAGCACAGGGTCCTGATCCCCCCCAAGCACGTTGAGCTCCAGAGAGCTCCTCAAGCAACATGACACCTGGCCCCAGGCTTGCTCCCTCCTTCCCTCTGCTTCCAGCTAAAAGCTGCAAGGACACAGCAGCTATGACGGCTGAGGCAGCCCTACAGCTGGCTTCTTCTAGCTGCTCAATTTCCCTGAAATGTGGGGCAGCTGCCCAGCTGCGGTGAGCTCAGCACCGGGAAGACAGCTCAGAGGCATGATGCAGCAACAACCCAGTGGCCAGGCTGGGTGCCAGAGCAGCCGGTGCACTGGACAGCCCCTGGCCGGCAGCGGGTGTCCAGGCAGGGCTGCCTGCAGGGCAGGCAGGCAGTGGTGCACACACATCCCTGGCTCCTGCACCCTCAGGGTGGGCTATGGTTGCCCCAGTTAGCACCAGCACAGCCCGGTTTATGGCAGAGCCTTGTCTGCCCTGTGCCAAATGATCACTGAGAGGCTGATGGGGGGAGGGAGCTCACAAGTGGGGCCCATCCTGTCCTGCTGCTGGCAGCTGCCACAGGCACAGCTGGGAGCACAGTGGCGTTGTGCCCAGACCTGCAGCAAGTGCAGGGACAGCTGGGGGAGCCCTGCTTGCAAGGAGGGGTCCTGGCCATGGCCCAGCTGCCAGACACCCTGGCAGGGATGTCTGTCCCCCCCACAGGGCCCTGGGAAGGAGTGTTCTGTCCCTGCATGCCAGCCTCTCGCTACTCTGGGAGCCCCGCTCCACTCTGCCTCCAGCCAAATCAGTGTTGCAACCTGAACTGATCCCCTGGGTGCTCCCAGCCCCCTGCACCCCTCTTCACCCCATGCCGGGATGCCTGAGCCTTGCATCTCTCTCCAGCAGGTCTGGATGCTGCAGAGCCAGACACCCTACAGCAAGGGAGATCCGGCACAGGCTCCCCTCTGCTCCCTAGACCAATGACAGAAAAGCCCTGCTAACGGAGCTCTGGCCTCTAAACCCTGCAGCCCCTGCACCTCTCCGGCCCTGCAGCAAGGACCCCACGAGGCACAGTGCCCCAGTCATGACAGGGGCCTGGGCAGGTGCCAGGAGCGGGGAGGGGGAAGCAGGTGCGTGACCAAAGGCAGGGAATGAGTGGAGCACACCCAGCCCTTGGCTCAGCTCTTTTTTTCCTTCTCCTGTTTGGTAAAGCAATGAGAAATCCAAACATTACCATAAATGCTGAAAGCATCCTTCCTCCATCACGTGGGCACGGGTGCACACACTGCCGGGGATCCAGGCACCCGCTGCTGTGAGGAACCCCGCAGCCAAAACCGGCCAGGCAGGGAGGGGACGAGGCTGGCAGGCAGCCAGCCAGCAGGACAGACCCCAGGCAGGGACAGACAGACTGACACACACACATCTGCCATCCCAGCAGCTGTTGCAGAAGGTGGCAAAGCTGAGCTACATGAGCATGCGGACTAGACCCAAACGAGACGTGAACAGTGCATGGCAATAATGGGATAAGATTGTGAGGCTGTAATAGCACAAGAATGTATATAAAATTATAGAGGCTGTTAATGTGTTTTAAAGGCTTTAAGGACCTTTTTTAACTGCCTAAAAGTAGTCATTCATGATACAGCAGAACTTATAGCTTGCTTAATGCTCTTGCTTAACTTTGACCTGTTTTCTGATTGGAAGAACAAGAAAATCTGGAAAACCTCGGAACTAGTTTGAGCCTGAAAAAAGGACATAATAACCACTGGTCTAAACTACAGCCCCAGAAACAGAAAAAGAATGAACCCCCCTAGAGACAAGAAGGACCTAGTGAAAAATAAGAGGACCCCAGATGTGAATATTACTATTGGACTGGACTGTCATGTGTGGGATGGGAACTTACATTGTAAGGGTATAACTGCCCAGGGATTTTAGTGTTTGAGGTCCCTCCCCGGAGGCACCCAGCTCGAGCTGTCTAAATTTGTGCACTATAGACAGAACAAATTACGCTTTTATTTTGAAGGCCTTGATTAGAGACTCTGCTTCAGAAAACCTGGGGTTTGAGTCTGAGGGAAGAGGAAGCGCCTGAGAGGGAGTGTGTGTGTGCCAGGAGTTGAAAGGGGCACCTGTTGGCTCACTGGGGTCGCCCGCTGTGAAAGGACTCTGGACCTGGCAGCTAAAATCTCATGTGGCATGTGTGCAACTCCTTGTTTGGTGTGTGAATGCTCAGGCAACGGCTTCTCCCTTAACACAGCCCAGCCAGTGCTGTGGCTTGGGGAGAGCTGCGTCAGCTCGGTGCAGTATCACGCAGAGTGTGCCAGGACACGGCCCCTGCCCTGGCTCAGGGTGTTATGGTGGGTGAAGGGGCAGGTGGCTGCAGGAAGGGGACCCCGGCGTCCTGCTGCCTTGGGGCTCTTTGCTGTCCCGGGGTGCAGTGCTTCCCTCCTTGGCCCTGCACTGGCAAGTGCCTCCCAGCGCTGCAGATGTCTTTCCTATGGGTCATCCACTCCACACGCACTCCCCTTCCTTAAAAAGCCTTGGGCTCCAGGGCTGGGTTTTCCTGAGCTTGTCATCACTGTCAGGGCAGCAGAGCTGGACCATCTCCTGGGGCACGGCAGAGCGAAGGGCAGAGACACTGTCAGCCCCACACCCTGCCCAGGAGCCAGCAGGAGCTGCTCTGGGGCTGTAGCCTTGGGCCAGGCCATGGCCATGGGTTTATTCTGGGACCTCCTGCAGGAAACTGCTAGGTGGGGTGAGAGCAGCACAGCCCTGGGCTGATCCTGTCCCAAACACTCCCACCCCTGGGACCCCGCTAGAGAGCGCAAACCTTCCCTGCGCCAGGGCTGAGGCTGTCGCAAGCTCATCACATGTGTGGCCCCCGGCACCCCAGAGTGGTGGGTGCCCCCCACGCTGCTTGGAACCGGAGCGAGGGTGGGCCTCTCTCATGTCCCGGCCGCCCCCGCCCCGCTGCGAGCGGGCCCGCGGTGCCGCGAGTTCCGCCACGGTCAAACGGGCGCCGCTGTCCCTTTAAATGCGCGCCAGGGGGCGGAGCCCGCCCCGGCGGCGCCAGCCAGCCGGCGGCGCCCCACCCGGCAGCGGCCACGCCCCCAGCGGCCGCGCCCCCGCCGCGTCCTACGAACCGCCCAATGGGCGGCAGGAAGAGGCGCGGCCCTCGCCGCCGATTGGCCCGGCGCCGCGCGGCAGCCCGGGTGAAGATGGCGGCGCCCAGGGCCGGGGGGCGGCGGGCGGGCCGCTGCTGACAGCGCCGTACGGGCCCCGGCGGGGCGCCCGGGTCCGCCATGGACCTGCTGTTTCTGCTGCTGCGCGGCCTGCGGGTGGCCCTGGACCTGCTGGTCCTGGTGCTGGACGTGAACTTCTTCTTGGTGTCCTCGCTCGTGTCGGCGCTGCTCTGGCTGCTCGCGGCGGCCTGCGGCCTCCCCGCCGCTGCCGCCGCCGGGGCGCTGGCCTGCTGGGACGGGCTGCTGCTCTCGCTGGCCTCCCTGGCCCGGGCGGCCTGCTGCCTGGCGCTGGGCGCCCTGCAGGGGCTGGCCGGCCTGCTGCGGGGCTGCTGCTGCGGCCTGGAGGGGCTGAAGGTGGCGGGGCACCTCCTCTCGCACCTGGCACTGCGGGGCAAGGAGCTGCTGCACCGCGGGCTGTGCGGCCTGCTGGGCTGCGGCCAGGCGCTGGGCAGGCAGCTCTGCGAGGGGCTGGCCATCGCCACCAGCCTGCTGGCCTACCTCATCAACAGCCTCGTCAATGTCTGCCTCATCGGCACACAGAACCTCTTCACCCTGCTCGCGGCCCTCTGGGATTCCATCGCTGGCCCCTTCCTCAGAGTCACAGACCTGCTGGCTGCTTTCCTGGCGCACGTCTCCAGCAGTGCCATCGCGGTGTCCATCCTGCTGTGGTCACCCTGCCAGCTGGCCTTTGAGCTCCTGGCCTCCATCGTCGAGCTCTTCATCAGCATCTTCTTTGTGAATATTTACGGCCTGGGCTTGCTCCTCCTCATTATTGTCGTCAGCATCTTCGTGTTCAACCCCGGGCTGCTGTGGACACTGACAGGCTACGTGCTGGGCTACTTTAACACGTTGCCTTCCTACCACCGCCTGCAGCGGGATGTGTGGCGGCTCTATCAGGTGGCAGTCCTGACGCTGGGCATGGCCATGACCTCTCAGGCCTGGCGCAGGCTGGTGGACTGGAGTCTGCAGGTGACCAACTGGAGCCGGGGAGGCAGAGTGATCAACCCGGAAAGCAACCAGCGAGGGGCAGCTGCGCCTGCCCTCAGACCCGCGGCACCCAGCAGGCTGGCGCTGGCAGGCATCGGCCAGCAGCCGGCTGAGCATGAGGACCGGCTGCATGCGGAGCAGGTACCACAAGCGCGTCCCGCTCTGAGTCGAAGTGCCATGGCAGGACAGCGTCTCCAGCTGCCCAGGGAGGAACAAAGCACCTCCTGGGGGAAATCTCTGAGGAGGCAGCAGCTGAACGCAGCAGCTGGGGAGGGTGAGGGTGCTCCGGATAATGACCCCTGGATGCTCCTGAAAGAACAAGAGGAACGTAAGAAATGTGTCATCTGTCAAGACCAAACCAAGACAGTCCTGCTTCTGCCCTGCAGGCACCTCTGCCTGTGTCAGGAGTGCACAGAAGTCCTCCTGCAGCAGGCCATCTACCAGCGCAACTGCCCGCTGTGCCGCCAGATGATCCTCCAGACACTCAATGTGTACTTGTGAGCCCAAGGGGCGGGTGGCTTGGGTCGGTTTCCCAGGAGGTCAGGGGCACCCGTGCCTGCCTCTTGCCAGGAAGCAGAACTTCCCAGGGCTGCCTTGTGCAGCTTCCAAAGAACTAAGGATGGTGCTGAAAGGGCAAAAGGCTGTTGGGGACATCTGCTAGCCACATTTGCTACATAACAAAAGATTGTAGCTCTTGCTAGCAAGCACAATAACTGACCTCTGCAGCAGCCTGAAAGAGTTACTTTTTTTTTTTTTGTTGACAACTTTTGCTGTTTCAGGGCCTGTTGCTTTGAGCCTGCAGCTGTCTGAGATCCAAAGCAAAGTGTAGAAAGATGCTCTGGTCCTTCCTAGCCAAAGCTGATGGAAAGATTAAAGGCTGTGCATGCCCTCCTGGGAATCAGAGGGGCTGGTGCAAGCCAAGGGAGGGTTTTTTTTCCCACGGTCTGACCAGAAAACTACCTGGCAGACAGCCTTCAGGCCTTTGTTTCCTCCTTCCACCATCTAAATGGGGGGAGCTCCCTGGGAAAGGAGAAGTGTGCCCCTTTTTCAAGACCCTAGGAGAGCAATAAGCACACTCGAACTTCTTAGCCTTTGCTACCAGAGAGCTGAGCCTAGCTCTTAGCTGGAAAAGAGCAGGGTCTCTCGGGTGCTTCAGTATCCCTGTGACTTTAGTTTGATTTTTGAGCTTCCTATTCCCCTTGCCAGGACAATGAGGAACTGTGATGAACACAGGCTCCCTGAAGGCCAGCTGACTGCAGAGCTCAGTGTTGCTGCTGCTTCCATGCATCACCTATGCAAGACTAGCAAGCACACATCAGGTTACTCACATGGGGCGTCCAGAGGGAGTTACTCTTTCTGCAGGGGCGGCGGTGCTCCTTGTGGGACCTGAGGGGTGGCTGGCTGGCCAGTGCTCACAGCCCTGGCAGCAACAGCACACATCTGAGCCAATGCTGGAGAACCCTCTCTAGAAAATACTAATTTTTTTCAGGCTCAGAGTGCCATGGAACTGGATGGTTCACACCAGTACTTGATGCTTCCTAGGCTAGGCTGGATAGAGGGAGTAACTCTCTGGTAGTAAGGGAACACTCCAAAGCTCCTAGGAGCCCACTGAGACATTCCAGCTCCAGGCACAAGTTCTGCACAGCTGTGCTGTAGACCTGCAGTTGTGTGCATGGAGCACTACCAGGACCATGGCTGTCTTTGATTAGGGCAGGGTTACACTGCTGTTATGTCTTAACTGTCTGTCAGAAATGTAGCTAGTTTTATTTAAGTGTCCCCCAAGTCTTAACGAGGGCATCCAATTCTGGCTGGGGAGGCCTGAGATGGCTCATCCCAGCTTGGTCAACCAGCACCATTCCAAGAAATTGCTGGGCTGCAAGAGAGCCTTGCAGTAAAAAGCTTTTCCTTTTCCAACTGCTTGCCTGAGGTCAGCCACGTGCCACAGCCAATTTTGGCTGGAGCCAGACTGGAAAGAGTCTTGACTCCTGGACTGCAAGCCAAGAGCCTAAGGGCAGCTGGCATGGTCTTCCATCTCTATTCTCCTTGATTAGTCATTTAAGCCAAAACAGAGGCAGCAGAGAGGCCAGGCCATGCTGGGAGATGCCTCTGCATTGTAAACATGAGCTGTGGCAAGATATTACCTCACTGGAGAGTGGCTTTGCTCTGGGAGGCACTGCAGGGGCTGGTTGCCGCTGTGTTTGCTGGGGTTGGAGAGACTCCCTGGGCCAAGCGGGACTCCTGAGCACCCATGCGTGTGGGAAGGGCCTGGCCCCTGAGCTATCAGCTGCTTCCACCTCACTTGCAGAGATGCAAAGCTCCCCACTCAAGCACTGCTGCTCAGCCTCTTGTCCCTGTGCGCCCAGACACACACCACCCATGCTCCCTCCCACCAACTCTTCCATGGTTGCAGCCAGTGACACTTGCAGTTGAGTAGCCCAGCCATTGCCAGAGCCATGAGTGCAGCCCCACAAGGCTGCATTCCCCAGGGTCCTGCTTGTCCTAGGCACCTTTAGAGGTCCTCCCGAGGGAGCTGCACCCTCCTCTGGGTGTGCCTCTGGAGACACCTGGGAGTGCGGCCATGCTCCTGGCAGCAGGCAGTGGTGTTTGGTCAGGATCAGCTCATGGATCTTAGGCTGCAGTGTTTCCTATCGGAATTACAGCATGGGGGAAGGACATCTCCCCAGGACTGCAGTTTCTCCCCTCAACCCCTTTTTTCTATTACAGCAGCCGTGCTTATTGTTTTAAGGCCTGTTTGTTTGCTGCCTGTTTATAAAAAAAGAAGAGAAAGCTTTGCCTTAAGTTTAACTCTTTGCACTACGGACTAGACACTCAGCAGATTAAAGTCTCCTTTATCAAAAACTGCCTTCTGCCTCATTCTTGGGAAGGGTTTTCTCTGGGGGGGATGGGGTCTCCTCTCTGCTCACCCCTGAGCTCCAGAGGAAGCCCGTCACTGCACGGGGGGTCAGAGCTACAGGGCTAACACCACCAGCAAGCTCAGGGCTATTTCTCTGGCAGTGCTCGCACCCAGAAGGGCAATGCTGTGGGATACCCTGGAGCCAGGCTGCTGCACAAGAAAATGATGGCACCCAGGAGGATGACTCCACAGCTGAAGATGCAGTAGGTGGGCTTCCCAGGGCTGGCATCCCCCCAGCGCCTCTGCTAATCCACAGCGAGAGGAGGTGGTTGTGGATATGCCTGTGCAGCAGTGCGAACGTCTGTGTCTTGCCTGGAGATGTGTCCAGTTCTGCAGCCTCTTCTGGACCCAGGAGCAGGCAGAGCAGCTAGGGTAGCTCTTGCTGGCAGGGGCCCAGACCTGGTGGGCATCTTCACTCCTAGTTCAAGTCACTCTGAGCTGTTCGTGATGAGAGAAGCAACGGCTGCTTTGAAGAGGGGCCTGTACACATAGCTTCATCTGTTTTCAGGAGCAGTTCCTCCCTGTACTGGAGCAAAGGGATTCATACACAAGTTCTGAGATGGAGATCCCCAGGGCCTCAGCAGCCCAAAGCAGAGGCTGGCATTTCCCAGGCTGGCAGAAATATGCACAGGGACATGTAATCCCTGCTCCCCGGTGTCCTTGGCACCTTGATGTCCTGCTACTTGCACTGGAGGGCATTGGCAAGCCTGACTGTCCCAGGGAGGGAGGCAGCACCCAAAGCACTAGGAGTTGTAGAGCAGCAGGCAGCACAGGGCTTCGTCTTGCCTCACAGAAAGGCTATGGCAGGCTCAGCTGCACTGGGCTATTGGTGAGCAGACGCATTTGCCGCACAATGAGTTACTCCTTGGCCACAATCTGAGCTCTTGGCAGGTTACTGTGTGCTTTTAAGCACCCTCTGCTTCTCCAGCATCCTTGTAAATTGTTTGGAAAAATATTTCAGGACCCTGATGGGCAGAGACCCCAGGAGTTCTGGCTCACCCTGCTCTGAACTCACCTGCCTTGGCAGGGCCATGCCAGCAAAGTAGCTAATTTTAACCAAGATGAAAGCCACAGTGGGAAGAGGGGGGATGCTGGGAGGCCAGAAAGAGATGGACATCTGCTGTGAGAGTGCAGCTCTGCCAGGCACATTGCAGACATGGAAAGGAGGGCCATGCCGGCAGCCCTCCCAAGCCCTGTGGGGATCTGGCTGCAGACAGGTGACAGCTGAGGAAACTGAGGCACTTCTCAGCCTTCCTCTCTCACTCCCAGGGTGTGTGAGCCAAAGCAGGTTGGGCATCTGGGAAGGCTGCAGAGCTGCCCTGGAGCAGGAGGACTGGACCAGAAGGGGAACATTTGCTATCCCCCGCATAGACAGGGTGCTACTGGGTGCTACCAGCCCACCACCCCCTCAGCCAGCCCCAGCGGGGGACAGAGAGGGTGTTCAGCTGCCTCAGGCCACTGCGGCTGAGCCTGCCAAGTGAGGACAGGATGTGAAGGACACAGCCTTCCCCCGGGAGCCATCCTGCACGCATTTGGCTCACTCATTGGCCAAGCGGCAAGCAATTATGGGAGGAAAATGCAACCACCTCCCAGCTAATGGGCAGCACATAAGGTCCTTGAGAATGACGGTCAGTTACGCCAGAGCTGCCTGCTCCGGGGAATGTGGCCTTCGGTGCAGGGCTGCACTGCCTGGCGAGGGTGTCCAGCAGCGGCAATGCTCACAGACCGGGCCAGGGCATGAGATCTGAAGTCCCCAGGTTAATCCCTGCTCCAGAGCTTGCTCGGGAGCCTCACGTGTGAGCTGAGTGGGCTGGTCTCAGCCCATCGCAATGCTAAGACCCTTCGCCCTTCCCCAAGGAGGGAGGAGCATGATGCTGCTGGGTTACTGCAGTTTAGGAGCACTGGGGTGGTGGTGGGCTGACAGATTGCTGAAACCAGGGCCCTGCAGGCCTTGGGAAAAATCCCCAGGATCCCTTTGTCAGCCCAGCTGCAGTATCCCAGCCCTAATGAACCACTAGTCCCAGCCTGGGGACAACAGCCATCGTCTGCCTGACAGCAGGGGACTGGCGTGACAGACGCACGCTGCAGATGCGCAGCAGCATGAGCAGCTAATGATACCAGGCCAACAGGGAGGGAGCAGGTGACGATCAGTAGCCAAACCATGGGGGGCCTTTGGGCTGCTCCTGGGCACCAGCTTTGCTCCCTCATTAGTGGCTCAGCACAAGGACCCACACCAGCTCCCTGAACACGCCAGCAATCCCAGCACCTCAGAGCCGTAGTGCTGACTGTGGTGAGGCCTTGGGGACACAGAGTGGCTGAGGCTGCCAAGGACCTAGAGATCATCCAGCCCAGGCACTTCCTCAAGCAGCGGCAGCTAAAGCAGGTAGCACAGGACTGTGGCCAGTCAGGTTCTGAATGTCTCCATGGATAGGGACTCTACTACCTCTGACGAGCCTGTGCCAGAGTTTGATCACCCTCACAGTAGAAGATGGACAGCCCTTTGCTGGACTCGCTCCAGTGTGTCTGTGTCTGGGTCCCCTTATTCCTCCTAGGTTAACACCAACAACCAGCCACCTCCAATTCCTGTTCACTGGGACAGACCACTTGAGTTTGGAGGAGCTGATCCTTCATCCTCTTGGACACCTCTTCTCTCAAGGATGCGGGATTCTCCCAAACAGATCCCTGAAGAGGCCAGTGTCTACTCTCCTGAAATCCAGGGTTGTGGTCCTGCTTTTGTCTTTTCTTCTTTCAGGATCTTGACCTTCCCCTGGCCAGTCCTTCCTACCTGTGGGGCCCAGCAGAGCACCTCTCCTCAATCATCCATGCCAGCAAAGCATTGTCAACATGCTCCAGGAGCCTCCTGGACTGCTTGTGCCCCACTGGGTTGTCTCTCCATAAGATACCAGGGGCATACCAGGGCCTGACAAAACAGGGCATCTTCCAGATACCTGAAGAAAGCAGGCTGTGTCCTTATCAGGTGGCATGTAGCAGACACCCACACAGCTGCCTGCTAATCTTGACCCATCAGCCCTCAGCTGCCACATCACCAATCATCCCAAAGAGGCTGCAGCCCTGCAAGTGTTCACAGTCTGCTAGTTCCTCCTGTCTGCACCCCGTCCTGCCTGCATTAGTGGCCCCCACACATGCCCACTCCCCAGCAGGCCATGAGAGCTTGCCCACAACACTGTCCTGCCGGCACCGCCCTATCTGTGCCCCTATGCTGAAGTGACCCCACTTCAGTCCTGTTTTGTTGGTAACAGTCCCCACTGTTCACACTCCCCGAGCCCTTTGCTTACCCACCCCACCCACGACATCCCCACCTGAGTGAGGATTGTCCCCTCCCCTGCCATTCCCAGTTTTAAGTTCTCCTTACCAGGTCAGCTGTCCTATGGGCAGAGGTCACCTGAAGATGACTGGAGAGTACTCCCTGCAACTCGTCAGCAATGAGGGCGCTGAACCTATGCCATAACCGCAAGCTTTTGAGTGGAGCAGGAACCATCCTCCTGATGCCAGGAGTCACCAGGACAACCTTCACCATTAAGGGCATTTCCACTTTCGAAGCTAGCAGGTGCATGTTCTACCACCATAGCTGAAGGTTGGGCTCTTGTAGCTGTAGGGTCTTAGAGACAATCTGGTTGATCTCTTCAACGCCCTCTCTGATGCCACGCAGCCTGCTGACCTCCTCCAGCAGCTGTCTGCTTGGCAGCACAGCTCCAAGACATGCATGACCACACACCTCTTGCAGGCTGCCAGCCAGGTGCACCAACCCCAGCAAGAGTCCCCACGCACTCTCTGCAGGCTCGGTGTCCTCCAGCATTGCAGGAAGAGTTGCTTCTGTGGCTGCTGGGGCCATGACCTTGGTGTGCCAAGGGCATGTGTGCTGCTCTGGAAAGAGGTGCTGGTGCTTTCTTTAAAACAAAGTGGAAAAAAAAAAAAAAAAAACAAAACACCTTCCTGCACAAGCTGCTGCCTCTGTAAGCTGCTCTACAATACCTGTGAGCTGAGCCTGGCCATTATATAGGCTTCACCCTTGCACTGCCTATGGAATGCTGGCCCCTCCCTAACCTGGGTTCAGCTGGAACAGGGGCTTCAAGCACTCCTTCTACAGGGGCAGCTGGAGCTTACTAGAAACTTGACAGAAGTTAAGGTCTCCTGAGGCCCTCCTTCCTTATCCTTTCCTTATCCTCTTCCTCATCCTCTTGCTCATCCTCCCCAGACAGCAGCAGGCACTTCCATGTTCCTCAGCAGACCCCCAGTGATCCCAGTGTCCAGAAGACCGAGAGCGTCTCAAAGAAAGCAGAGCCCAGAAACTGCTGTGCCAAGTGCTATGTCTATGGCTGCCTCTGTTAGCTGTGGTCCCTGATACAGTGATAGGGAACAGAGGATGCTCCCAGCCCCCACACACCTCCCCTGGCCTCGTCTCAAGAAAACTAATTTTCCTCCTCCCAGAATAGACAGCGCCGGCCATCGATCTCCTCTGCGGCATTGTTTGCCCCTGGGCGGCTCTGCTTACAGAAAAGGCCATCGTCAACCCAAACAGACACTTCCGCTGTAACCTAATCCTGCAGCTGAGGCTGGGAAGAGGAGCCTGCCAGATGGCTAGCAGAGCCCCTCAGTACCCCAGGGGCGAGCTTCATGCCTGGTCCCAGCACCTCCACAGGCCCCTATAGGTGTGGGGTGGCCCTTAGCACTGCTGGACTGTGCATCCCTCCAGTCTCACACAGCCAGGCAGGTTGCAGTGACATGCCCTTGGCCCCAGGCCCCTGTGTGGTCCCCGGTCCCTGGGTGGGAAGCTGTGGGGCGGTGGGCAGCCCTCTCTGAGGGTGGCACTGGCCCCTCCGCAGGGGCACACAGACTGGCCCCAGGTCTGCTGCCAGCCCGCCCCAGCTCCCAGCCACAGCAGGTGAGCAGGGCTGCAGGGTTTGCTCATCATGGATGGGCACAG